ATAATAGTAATTGCCTCTGGGGAACTGGAGACTTTCACCTCCTATGATACAATTCATATAGAATTCAGCATAATTTATATTTATGTAACTTTTATCCTTTTTGAAATTCAAAAAAATTTTAAATAGTTTCTGGAAAACAAATTGAATAGCTGTTATATATATGATCATTTCACCATCCCCTGATATTGTCCAGTTAGGTTGACTCAGTCTGGAGATGCCTTCATAGCAGTTTTACTGTTATACCCCTAAACACTGGTTCCATCACAAATAATTCAACTGGAAGACCTGAGAAGCTGAAATTTGCAGTTCAACACAAATACACACACATACCACAACACAGTACAAGTAGCAGGAAGAAAGAAAAAAGTTATTAAAAATCATTATGAATGCTTACTTAAAGAAAATTGGAAAGTAAATGGAATTAAGTATCTCATATAGGAAGATTGACCATCATAGCATTTCTGGACGTTGTAACCCCAAATGCTTTTCAAGCAGAACTCTGACGCTCTGTCTTGGGGCTGTTCTGCCTTAGTGATGCTCACATCAGTTGAGTGCAATCACAGCTTCTTACTCAGGCCAAAAGCTCATCATAGACTCTTCTATGCATTACATACAGTATATCAGGAAATTCTGATCAGTTTATCTTTAGTGTATACTCAGAATCCAACTGCTTCTCATCACCTCCACTGCTAACACTTTGGTCCATTTCTTTCCTCTTATTTACTGTAGCTTTCTTCTACCTTATCATCTTCCCCTTATTCATGCTCCCCTCCCCCAAATGAATTCCCAAGAGAGCATTCAGGGCGATACTTGCAAAACACAGGTCATATCACAGTAGTTCTCTGTTTAAAACCTTGTTCTGGTTCCACATTTTTCAGGATAAAAGCCAGAAAGAGACCTTTCTACAGTGCCCAGCGAGATCTGTGCCCTTTTTTCTCTTTGACCTCATTTCTCATAATTCACTTCCTTATTGTGCTCCAGCTCTACTAGCCTCCTTACTGTTCTTTGAATATGGTACACCTGCTTTCCTCCTTCAGGTATTTTGCATTGGGTATTTCTTAGTCTGGAACACTTTTCTCCAGGCTATTACCTCCTCCTTCAAGTCTGCTCAGATGTTGTCTCAAATAAGGCCTACCTGACAACTTTATTTAAAATTGCAACTTGCGTTCTGATCTTCCTTTTGCATTTTAATTTTCTTTATTTTTTTTTCAAGCAATTCTTATCTCCTAATAGATTATGTAATCTTTTTACTTACTATGTTTGTTGTTTAGTGTCTGTATAACCCCTTAAACTAGAAGTTCTAGGAAAACAGAAATCTGTATCTGAGCTGGTTCCCTCATATCCCAGTTGCTTCAATGGCATATAGTTAGTGTTTGATTATTTGTTGAATGAATTTGTGTAAGGTAATGAACCAAAAGCATTTCACCCTTGATAGGGGCCTGAAGTCAGTCTCACTGTATGGACGTGGCCTGAGGGAAGGCTAACATTTCTGTGAACAAAAGCAAGAAAAAAATGGCCCCTGTTGCATAGGTTTTTGACTTATGGAGCTATGTTTCTGCTTTCCTCCAAGGGTTACAGAATGCAGAAAGAACTCCATATGCTGCCCATATGTTCAGTATTATTGGAGGATTTAACTGCAGAGTAGCAATCCAGAAGAGCGGATGGGAGACTGTGCTGGACTAGGAATCCCTGGTTGTGAATTTGTGTATGGGGTAGGTGGAGACAACCAAAAAAGCTACTAGGTAGCAGCCAGAAGAAAGCTAAGTTTCTCTCTGTGATAATTAGGACCAAGAGTTGAGTAGGGACTGGGCAGAGAAGAACCATGGAGGCTTGAAGCTCTGGAAGGTGGGGGAAGAGGGAGGAGGACCCAGTGACTAGCAAGGAGGTGTACTAGGAAAGTAAGTGTTAAGGGGGTTTAAAGAGTTGATACTGAGACATGTGTTTCGGACTTTCTTTTTTTTCTGTAAAATAAGATAAAATCTAGATTGTTTTGATGTTAGTGAACTCTTCCCATAGAATGGGAAGAGATGATATGCCCTGAGTCAGAGCTGGCACAGGGTGAAAATAGATTGCATGTGGCAATATTTGATGTCTGAATTACATATAATTAGGAAGACTAGTGATGGAGTTAGCTAAAAGTTGGATTTGAAATGAGGAGATCATTTGTGTAAAATGGTAAGTACAAACATCAGGCTAGAGTTGAGTTGGTGTGCATGATGTTAAGAGAACCCACATAAAGAACTATTTTAAGAAGCTTAACTGTGACTTGAAGGAAATTTAGGATTTTTTTAAAAAAATATGTTTGGAAGGCAGAGTTAGAGAAAGAGAGAGAGAGAGGAAAAGATAGAAATCATCTATTTGCGGGGCTGGCACTGTGGCACACTAGGTTAATCTTCCGCCTGCAGTGCCAGCTCCCATATGGGCACCAGTTCCAGTCCTGGTTGCTCCTCTTCCAATCCAGCTCTCTGCTGCAGCCTGGGATAGCAGTAGAGGATGGCCCAAGTGCTCGGGCCCCTACACCCTCATGGGAGACCAGGAGGAAGCATCTGGCTCCTGGCTTTGGATCGGCACAGCTCCAGCCGTTGCAGCCATTTGGGGAGTGAACCAATGGAAGGAAAACCTTTCTCTCTCACTGTCTGTAACTCTACCTGTCAAATAAATAAATAAAAAATCTTAAAAAAAAAAAAGAAAGAAAGAAGTCATCTATCTGCTGCCTCACTCCCCAAATGCCTGCAACAGCCAGGGTTGGGCCAGGCCAAAGCCAGGAACCAAAAGCTTCTTTCAGATGATGCAGGGGCCCAAGGACTTGGGCCATCTTCCACTGCTTTCCCAGGCACTATTGTGGGAGCTGGATAGAAAAATGGAGCAGCCGGGACTTGAACCAATGTCTCTAGGGAATGCTGGCACTGCAGGCAGTGGCTTTACCCGCTATGCTACAGTGCCAGCCCCTAAATCTTCTATAATTAAAGAGATACTTAGATAAGGGCATTTGATAAGTGTTAGTATTATCTAAGATATGGTACAACCTTGGCTATATGGATCATCATGCTGTTCTAGCTTCCCTCATCTGCTAATCCTCATATGTACCAGTCCCGCTGAGCAATTGCTGAGCCCCAGACATGCCCTGTTATTCCATGTATGCACCATACCATGCTCTCTATGTGCAGTGCCTCATTTTCTTCCCCTGAGCCAATTCTTTAGGACATCGATCAGATGCACCTCCTCCCTGAAAGCAATAAATAAACCAACCTCACTCGGCTACCTGTACCAGACATGAAACCAAACCTCCCACTGCTGTTCATCAGTCTGTTCCACTGGTGTGTTCTGAGTCCTAGAGGGCAGGCTCAGTATTTCACAAGTTTCTTTATTACCAGCTGGTACTTTCTTTGTAGTGGATTCTCAATAATCATTTTTGAAATTAATAATTGCAGGGATAGTTGAGGAATTATCCCACATACATCAGAACTTTTAGAACTATAGCAATCTTTTTAGACCTCTGTGCTTATTTGTTAACTTTATAAAAAGTTAACTGAGCAAAATTTAATAATCTTTGAAGATTTTAGAGGAATATCATGACTCAGATGCTGAAGTCTCGTGTTGCCCTCAGGGCTCACTGGTAGGTAGAGGACTGTTTACACTGATGCTGAATGGCTTCACCTACTGTGATTGGGAGTTATTAAGTTTGTTTTATGTGGCTTTTACTTTTTTACTTTATTCTTCTTGGTCCCTGTTACTTTAGCAGCCATTCTTCACACTTTTCATTTTCTTCTCTTAATTAGATGAATCTCCTGTAGAATTTGTTTGGAAAACTAAGCATATTCTTTAGATGAAAATAAAAGTAAACAGAATATATAGGGCTCTTCTGGGAATAAGTCTTTGTACCTTGGTACATAGGTTCCTCAGCTCTATCTGTTCACTCCTTCAGCTTCTTCCAGGGTTGAGCAGTACAATAACAAGGGCAAAGTCAGAACTTGATCCTTCATAGTATGCAGTCTAATTTGACTTGGCAGCTCATTCCCTTCTGTGGTTCTTAGTTATATCTCAGGTAATGATTCTTTTTCACTTACTTTACAATTTGAATGATATATTTTTTAAAAGATTTATTTATTTGTTTGAATGGCAGAGTTAGGGAGAAACAGAGAGAGAGAGAGAGAGAGAGAGAGAGGGAGAGAGAGAAAGGGAGGGGAGGGGAAGGGAGAGATCTTCTCTCCCCTGGTTCATTCCCCAAATGACTGCAACAGCTGGGCTGGGCCAGGTTGAAGCCAAGAGCCAGGAATTCCATCAGGGTCTCATGTGGCTGACAGGGGCTCAAGCACTCAGATCATTTTCCACTGCTTTTCCAGGTGCATTAGCAGGCAGTTGGGTCAAGAGTAGCGCAACTAGGACTCAAACCAGTACTCCAATGGGATGCTGGCTTCACAGGTGATGGCATAACCTTACTGTACCACAATGCTGGCCCCTGAATTAAGTATTTTGTGTATAAGTAATAGGGCAGGATTAAACAAAGGGTTTTGTTTTAGCCCCCTTGTGTCTTGTATTGGATTATAACTAGAATTACATGATTTGTTTTAAGATAAAGGTTACAGGCCGGCGCCATGGCTCAATAGGCTAATCCTCCACCTGCGGTGCCAGCATACTGGGTTCTAGTCCCGGTCGGGGCGCCAGGAGCCGGATTATGTCCTGGTTACTCCTCTTCCAGGCCAGCTCTCTGCTGTGGCCCGGGAATGCAGTGGAGGATGGCCCAAGTGCTTGGGCCCTGCACCCACATGGGAGACCAGGAGAAGCACCTGGCTCCTGGCTTCGGATCAGCGTGGTACACTGGCTGCAGTGCACCGGCCACAGCGGCCATTGGAAGGTGAACCAATCGTAAAGGAAGACCTTTCTCTCTCTTTCTCTCTCTCACTGTCCACTCTGCCTGTCAAAAAAAAAAAAAAATGATAAAGGTTACAATAAATAATAAAGATAATGAAGTGTATGTCTTTTCTTTTTCTCTCCTGTAGGAAATACAGATGAAGAGGACTGCAATTGAAGCTTTTAATGAAACAATTAAAATATTTGAGGAGCAGTGTCACACACAAGAACAACATAGCAAAGAATATATTGAGCGATTTCGTAGGGAGGGGAATGAAAAGGAGATTGAACGGTCAGTCTTCATCATTTCTCCAAGTGTACCAGTGAGACAAGACTTCTTTTCTCCGCAGTAATTCACGTCTTGACTGCTTTTACCCCCTCAAACTGCACAGTCCTGCCTTATGGAACTACTTGCTATTGCCACTGATGGCACCAAACTGAACCTCCTCTGTGTGCTCTTTCTCCTTTTTCTCGAATTATTAACTCCTTTTCATCCTTTAAGACTCAGCTTAGACATGACTTTTTCCAGAAATATCTTCCCTGATTCTCCAGCCCAGCTTAGGGTTTTTTGTTTTTGTTTTTGTTTTTGCTGATGCCCCTATGGTGTCTGGTCCTGATTCCAAGTATAATGTTTCCTGAATGCCATGCCCACTCAGCTGCTAGCTAGTTAAGAGAGTAGGCAGGAGGCATATTTTCTCTGATAGGCCCAGCTCCTGTACTGGTGTCAGGGAGAACATAATGGGTGTTCACTGAATAATTTTTTGAACTGGAAATCAGTTTCAGCAGCAGTCTGAGAATAAATTGGAACAGAACAAGACTTTACACAGGAAGATCAGCCTGACTGTTACAGATGCCTGCAGTGATTGTAGTCATCAGGTTAAAAGATGGTGATGGCTTGGATCAAAGCAATAGCCGTAAAGCAGGAGGAGTTTAGAAATGCTGAGGAGTTGATCCCTGATCAGATACAAAGGTGTGGGAGAAGTCAAAGATTATCCCTAGATTTCTGTTGTAAGTGACTTGGAGATGGTGTTATTCATCAAAATAGGAAGTGCATGAAGAGAGTTCAAGGTTGGAACAGTGGGTTTGGAATTCCTGTGAGAACCCAAATGGAGCTGTCTGAGATGCAGGCAGTTGGTTATTTGAATTTGGAACTCAAGAAAGATAAAGGATTTGTGATACATAAGTACATCTATGATGGTAGATGCTAAGAATGAGAAGATTATACAGGGAGAGCATATTGGATTTGGCAGTTAGAAGGATACTGGAAGCCTAGAGTATTAGAAGGCTCAGAAATAGTGGTCTGAAGAATGAAAAGGCATGGAAAAGTGAGTAATGAAAAAACAAGTTACAAGTCATATGCAATGACAAGACTGTTTCTCATGTTGTCACCACAGCATGAACATGGAGCTGAGTGCTGTGAGGTGGTATAGCTTAATGGGGCCATTTACCAACTGTGTTATCTTGGGTGGGTTACTTAACTTTTCTTGAGTCTGTTTCATCCTCCATTAAACTGTGGATAATATGGAATGCTGTGAGAATTAAGTGATAAATATCTTGGCGCATGTTAGGCTCTCAAATAGTAATTGCTAATAATAAAGGCAAAGAAAAGTACTTGTAGTTTAGTTGCAGATAAAGTGGTGTGAAATTCTAATAATAAGCTTTCTAATATGTAAAAAAATTCTAATAGGAATGTAAATCTACATATTATTGAGTGACAAGTGAGTAATATGAGCAGTTATTATTGTAGTTGTTCAGAGCATGGCAAAACTTTATGCTGGAAGAGCTTGTAGTCATCATCTATTAATATGCCAGCCAATGTTCTAGAACTCTTATATGTGCTGTCACATTTAATTAACACAATAACATTGTAAAGTAAATTGATACCTACTTTAAACAGAGGACAAAATGAAGGCACAGAGAAGCTAAGCAACCTTCCTGCAGCTCTACAGTAAATGACAAGGCAGAGATCCAAAACTGAGTAGGCCATTGCTCTTAACAATGAGCAAAGCCGTTGCTCTTTACTGCAGGGCGCTACCACTTAAATACCATGCATGTAGCTGTACTTGCTCAGTCATGGCTGGATCCAGGAACCAAACAAGATAATTGTGATTCTTTCTTACATTTTCTTTTGGCTCAGTTTTCATCTGGGTTGGTCTTATCCACAGGCAGCCTTTCCCTGTGAGGTGGCAGAAGAGCTGGGAGTCTTAAAATCACATATGCATAACTTAGCGACCCCAGTAGAAACAGAGAATCTCTTTTTACAATAGTTCCAGCAAAAGTCCTAGAATTGACTCTCATTGAGTCAGTTGAAGTCTTTCTCCTGAAGCAGTCAGTGTGGCCTGTGGGAAAGGGTGGGCTGACTGGAATACTCTTTATTGGCCAGTCTGGGCCTCGTGTGTCTCTCACCCTGGATCTGAGATGGGGGCAGGGAATCCTTACCTACCTGTTCTTAGAAGAATAAGAATGGATACAGGCCAGGCAAAAACAACAGCTGTTCACCACAGTTAAGATATCAGAACCGTGTTTGCATTATAGGAACCTTCTGTTTGGTTGCTATTTTTGCCTTAATTTGTCAAATATTTTCACAGAATTATGATGAATTATGACAAGTTGAAATCACGTCTGGGTGAGATTCACGATAGCAAAATGCGTCTTGAGCAGGATTTGAAGAAACAAGCTTTGGACAACCGAGAAATAGATAAAAAAATGAATAGTATCAAACCTGACCTGATTCAGCTGCGCAAGATCCGAGATCAGCACCTTGTGTAAGTTGTCAGAGGTGGTGTGGCGAGAGACACACTGGCATCGGATTACTATGGGCATTAGAGATGTTACAGTTGGGAGAAGAGATTTATAATTGAGAACTGGCCAGTGAGATGGCAAGAACTTAGGAAAGCAGGTATATTGTAGGACATTCCAGAGTTCACTTGAAGTCAATGTGTGGGGCAAATCAGATGTAGAACTCAGTAGCATACAGGTGCTTTGGAAGTGTCAGAAGGTGGCTGTGGCACAAGCAAAGTGCTATCAGTGAGAACGTACAGTTAATGTTTGCCTAAAACATGAAAACCAGAATCTTTGGTGTGGACCATAGAGAGAGAAAACACTCTTCAGAGGCACAGGAAAAAACACTGACAGTGGGAGCCTATAAGTAACAACACAGTACAGTCTTTGAAAGGATTTTTATATTTAAGAAATGAGACTCTGTTTTTAAATAATAGAAATATCTCTCTAGCAGACACTTAAAATAATTTGAGTAGTGAAACCCAATTTTTTTAAAAAAGATTTATTTATTTGAAAGGCAGAAATACAGAGAGAGAGAGGGAGAGAAAGAGAGGTCTTTCATCCTCTGATTCACTCCCCAGATGGCCGCAATGGCTGGAGTTGGGCTGATCCAAAGCCAGAAGCCAGGAGCTTCTTCCTGGTCTCCCACGAGGATGCAGGGCCCAAGGACTTGGGCCATTGTCTACTGCTTTGCCAAGCCATAGCAGAGAGTTGGATCGGAAGCGGGGCAACCAGGCCTGGAACTGGCGCCCATATGGGATGCCAGCACTGCAGGCGGCAGCTTTACCTACTACAACACAGTGTTGGCCCTGAAACCCAATGTTTTAAATTAGAGAAAACTGATTTAGCCAAACATAGTCATAGTAAGGATGTTATCTAAATATAGAGTCAAAGATTATTGTTGGAATGAAATGTGTGGATTAGATTTTTAGAAGTCCAATGCGCTATCCATTGCACAACAGAGCCAAGTGCCGGATTAGATTTTTAGAAGGACAAATAGGGGCTGGCACCATGGCTCACTTGGTTAATCCTCTGCCTGTGGCACTGGCATCCCATATGGGCACCAGGTTCTAGTCCAGGTTGCTCCTCTTCCAGTCCAGCTCTCTGCTGTGGCCCAGGAAGGCAGTGGAGGATGGCCCAAGTGCTTGGACCCCTGCACCCGCGTGGGAGACCAAGAAGAGGTACCTGGCTGCTGACTTCGGATCAGTATAGCTGTTGTGGCCATTTTGGGGGTGAACCATCGGATGGAAGACCTTTCTCTCTCTCTCTCTCTCACTGTCTGTAACTCTACCTGTCAAATAAGTAAATTAAAGAAAAAGGACAAATAATTGCTTCATTGAAGGCTAGATCCATGAGAAAAGAAAATGTGTTAGATTTAGTTTTGAGTAATGAAAGTACTATTATGAAATAATATTTATAGGTAGGCTTCATGCATGTAACACCACTCAGTTCAAACTCCTGGCAGGGGAAAATCAAACAATGACTTCTAATTCTGGGTTTCTTTGTGTGAGAATTTCAAGGTTTCTTTGTGTGAGAAGGAAGGTAGTAGGGGATAAAATATAGAACTAGAGATTGAAATAATAACAGGTGAGTTTCAATAGAGGAAAATTTAAGATAATGTTTTGGGTGGTAATCAGGTAGAGCTATACTGTTCTGAATAGTTTTTAACAACACCCCTTTTAAGAGATCATTTGCAATTGTGGCAAAAAACAAAAAGTCAAACAAGTGTACATAGTATACTGAAGAACTATGTAAACAAAGCAAGAACATGCCTTATGTAAAAGAAGAATGTTTTTGTTCTTGTAATGCTTTTGTGGTTCTGGTTATGTCATGAAGCTGAAGAGAGGTCACAAAAGACTATGCTGTGGCCAAATGGAAACACTTCTTTGCCCTGAAAAGTGCTAGAGATATTAGGAAATGTACAATCCCAAGGGGATAAATAAGTGTGGAGTCTTTGTCCAGTCAGCTGCTGTAATAAAATACCATAAATTGGGTAGCTTATAGACAAAAAAATATTTCTTACTGTTCTGGAGTCTGGTGAGTGTAAGATTAAGACAGTGATAGATTTGGTATTTTTTTTTTAATTTATTTTGAAAGAGGAGTAACAAAGAGAAGTAGAGCAAGAGAGAGAGGTCTTCCATTCTGCTGGCTTACTCTCCAAATGACTGCAATGGTCAGAGCTGAGCTGATCCGAAGCCAGGATCCAGGAGCTTCCTCTAGGTCTCCCATGCAGGAGCAAGGCCCAAGGACTTGGGTCATATTCTACTGCTTTCCCAGGCCATAGCAAAGAGCTGGATCATAAGAGGAGCATCTGGGACACAAACCAGTGCCCATATGGGATGCTGACACTGCAGGCTGGAGCTTTAACCTGCTGCACCACAGCACTGGCCCCAGATTTGGTATTTGGTGAGGGCCTGCTTTTTGATTCATACATGGCTCCTAATATATGTGTCCTCACATGATGGAAGAAGTGATAGTTCTCTCTCAGGCCTCCCTTTTGAGGCCACAATGGCATTCACAAAGGTTCTGCCCCTATGACCTAATCACCTCCCAAAGTCCCCACTTCTTAATACCATCACTTTGGGGTTTAGGATTTCAGTATATGAAATATAGGACAACATCAACATTCATATCATAGCATGTGGCAAACCAGTTATTGAAATTTCCTTTATTGGGGTTAGGTAAGCTAAATGTAAAAGTTTAGATAACATCATGGACAGCAGAGTCATGCTCTGCTTGCTAGTAAGGACAGCTGCAATGTTGAGGGAGACACATCCAGCAACTACCTCTTTGGAAGGGTTGCTTCAAGGATAGTCTATACTTTGATATTTCTAACAGAGAATTGTCTCTAGGCTTCATGAACTTGAGCTAATGCTGAACTTTGTATATCAGTCCTGAAGAACCTGTGTTGTTGCATGATACTGAGCATTGTTTCTCTTTGGTTCTGATGAATAGGTTGGAATTCTGTAATACCCGAATACTCTCTTTGTGTGTGGACATTTCCCTGACTTCTCACTGCATAACCCACAAGGATTTTTTGAGATTCTCTGCTGAGATCCTGATGTACTATTTCTAGGATATTTTTGAATGTTAAGATATATAATGTATCTTTTTATTCTTATTTTATATTCTTACATATAAAAGAAAACATTTCTACTATAAAGTTCTATTTACTTGAAGCTCAAAAATGGGAAAGATCTATCTGCGGTAAAGAATTAAGAATAGTGATTGCTTATGGTGGGGGTATTGATGGGAAGATGGCATGAGGGAAACTTGTGGCATCCTAGAAATATTCTGAATCTTCATCTGAGTTGGGTTACATGGGCTTATACAAACATGCAAATTAATCAAGAATGGGCATTTGTCCTGGTGGTTAGGATGACTCTTGGGATGCCTGTATCCTTACTGGAGTGTCTTGATTAGATTCCCAGCAATGGCTCTGATTTCCACCTTCCTGTTAATGTGCACCTCGGGAGGCAAGGGAGATGGCTCAAGCATTTAGGTCTCTGTCACTCATCTGAAAGATGTGGATTGAGTTCCCAGCTCCCAGTTTTGGCCAGGCATAGCCTCAGTGTTGCAGGCATTTGAGGAATGCACCAACAGACGGAAACTATCTCTTTCCTTTGCTCTCTTTCTCTGTCTCTCAAAAGAAAAAAATGAAACAAGCAGTTAGTATGTACATAAAAGATTTATGTACTTTATATATATTACAAGTCAATACATACATTAAAAGTATAAAATACATTAGGTTTAAAATTTCCTTTCAGAAAAGGATTTTGGAGGGCTGGTGTTGTGGCAAAGTAGGCATCCTATATGTGCCAGTTTGTGTCCTAGCTACTCCACTTCCATTTGAAAGGCAGAGTTACAGAGAGAGAAGGAAAAGGAGAGTGAGAGTGAGAGTGAGAGTGAGAGAGAGAGAGAGAGAGAGAGAGAGACTGAGATCTTCCCATCCACTTGTTCATTCCCCAGATGGTCAGCTCTGGGCCAGGCTGAAGCCAGGAGCCAGGAACTCCATCTTGGATTCCCAGGTAAGCTGCAGAGGGCCAAGCACTCAAGCCATCTTCTGCTTTCCCAAGCAAGTCAGCAGGGTGCTGGATTGGAAGTGGAGCAGTCAGGATTTGAACTGGTGTCCATATGGGATTCCAGCATCATAGGCAGGAGCCTGACCTGATGTGCCACAACTGTAAAAACTCTTTTTAATTTTGAGTTTAGGTTAGTTTTTATGATCATTTAATTTTCATGGTATTTAGAAATCTAAATTTATAAATTTAAAATAAATAATAACTTGTCATTACCACATAGATACATTAATGATGAGTTTTGAGAAATAGTTTATGTTCCATACAATTAACCCACTTAAAATGTACATTTCAATGTTTTCAGTGTATTCACAAGTATTTGCAATCATTAACCCATATTTTAGAACATTTTAGCACCCTAAAAATAAACCTTGGGGCTGGCACTGTGGCACAGCAGGTTAAAGCCCCAACCTACAGTGCCGTCATCCCATATGGACACTGGTTCAAGTCCAATCCAGCTCTCTGCTATGGCCTGAGAAAGCAGTAGAAGATGGCCTGAGTGCTCCCGATTTGGGGAGTGAACCAGGGGATATGAACCAGGCCAATTTGGGGAGTGAACCAGTGGATGGAAGATCTCTCTCTCTCTCTGCTCTCTGTAACTCTGCCTTTCAATTAATAAATAAATAAATCTTAAAAAAATGAACCTTGGGGGCAGGCATTTGGTGCAGTGGTTAGGACACTGCTTGGAACAGCTGCGTCCCATATCAGAGTGCCTGCTTCCTGCTAGTGTGCCCCTGGGAGGTGGTAGAAATGGTTGAAGTGCTTGGGTCCCTGCCACATACATAGGAGACCTGGATTGAATTCTAGGCTACTGGCTTCCTCCTGGCCCAGGCCTGACTGTTGTGGGTATTTGGGGGAGTGGACCAGTGGGTGGAAGATAGGCATCTGTCTCTCAGTTTCTTTCT